TTTGTACAAGCAGAGACTAAGAGTGGCAAGTGGATGTTGACCCACCTGTGTGTGAACCTGTCGTGTGTAAAAAGTACTGTGAGTGTGTGCTGCCTTCCTGGATGTCACCACTGGTCCAGAGACCTTCGGGGCAGTGACCCAGCCGCGTGCCCAGCACCACCGCCCCTGCTCAGTCCTGCTGTAGGATTCCTCATCTTTCTCCAGAAGGCTCTAAAGTTCAGGCATTTTTGTACGGTGTGTTGGGGGGGTGGGCACATTCATATCTTCTGTTTGTGCAGACTGGGAAAGGTGTTGATTGTGTTTTTGTCTTAGAACTTGAATTATAAATAGGCCAGGTTCTAATCCATGGGTTCCATTCTTCCCCTAGTGTGACCCACGAGCCAAGAAGCTCCCACTCTGTAAGGGATTTCATGTCTGGTGTCCCCTTTATTTGACCTGCAGACATCAAGTGGGCAATTTATGTTACATTCAGGAAAGAAATTTTGGAAATGGTGCTTCTAGTCTTTGGGATCTGTGGATACTTCTGAATAGCTCTGGTGGAGTATTTGGGATCAACCAGCAGGTTTCCCCTCTTGCCCTCTAGATTCACCTGCTTGCCTTAATCTGTTCCTGAAGCCAAGTGAATTTAAATCAGAATAGCAGGGGTTTTCAAGGCCTTGCCCAGTCACCCAGTCAGAGGCACCACACTGTTTTGCTGGAGTTTGGGTGGGAGGCGCCCAGGCAGAAATGTTGGAATGGTGTGGTGCTGCCTCTCAGAATCCCCTAAAACAGGAATGATCAGAGGACCCAGAGGGTACACTCTTAGCATATGGGCTGTCATTTCCTGCCTCTATGACCTGTGGCTTTATCTAGGAGACTGGTCCTCCGGTTTCTCTTGGTACCAGGTTTCTGCATCTTGAAATGCCAACGCAAGTTCACCCTGGGCTGGTGGGAGAGCCTTTCTCTTCCTCCGGGGCAACACGGTGGCTGCAGGTGTCTCCTGGCTTCCCTTCCAGCAGCAGCTCCCTGTGCTCCCACAGTGGGCAGGACATATTCAGGCGTGGGTCAACCCTGCACGGGTAATCCCGTAATCCCTGTAGAACTATCTGAATGGTGTTCCTCCTCCTGCTTTTTTATTTATTTATTTTTAATAGTCTTATCATCTTCCAAAAGCTTTTTCTTTTCCCCAGCATTGCTACTGGGTTTTCTGCTTGTCCTGTACCAAGTGCTCCCCTTTAAACTTCAGTTTAAAACAAAAAACACCCCAAGGGGGCCCTTTGCCACCAGGGGCATGGAGGGACACGTTGCCAGTGGCCTGGGGAATGGGGCAGGAATTGGAAAGGGAAAGATCACGTACTCACTTATTTCTCCAGATACCAAAGTTGACTCCTGGTTACTAAACACCACCAGGAATGAGGGACCTAGCCACCGCCACCTCTCCTGAAAGTGTTTGGGTAAAGGTACAGATTATGTGCTGCTGTTCGACTCTCGCCAGCCCACAGATAGCTGCAGAGCGTGTTTTATTGGTTGTAGCCAGGCCAGGGACTCATCATTCTCTCCCCCACGTAGTGCCCCATGAGCCAGCCAGGCACTCTGTTGTGGAAGCAGAGCAGGAGCCAGGAGGAGAACCCTGTGGAGTGGTGAGCAGGTGGGGGAGGGCTCACCTGTCAGTATTCCCTAGTCCTTGAATGGTGTCAGCAGGAAGGAAGGAGAGGATGGCTGCATCCCGTGGCCATTTCCAGGGGTGGTTCTCCAAGACAGTGGGTCCTGGGAGAAGGAATTTCACACCAGTGACCACCTGATAGGGAGGAGCTGTGTAGGAGCAACAGGAGTCGGGGCACAGACACCTTGAGGGCCTTGGGTCTTCAGGAATGGGAGAATCCAGTGCTGCGCAGGTCCCCAGAGTAGTCCTGGGATGTTCATGGCTGCCCTTGAAGGGAGGGCTGCTGAAGCTGGGGCACTSTTCACATCTCGTTCTCCGTGGCTGCCCACTTCTTCAGTAATTCAAGTGCTCAGCAGATCTGGTGCTGGGACAAGCCTGGGCCCCTGACCTTAGTGGACAGTGACTGTGTGTTCACCAGGGTGGCTGGTCAGGGCAGGGAGACCCAGCGGGTCTCATTAGCACCAGCCTGTCTCATTAACACAACTAGAAAAGCAAGTGTCTGCCTCGCTGAATGCAGGTTCGTTAGCTCCTGGTGAGGGACCTCAGCTAGCTAGCGTTACGCCGGTGTACCTGAGTCTGCCCACGGCTTCTCTGTGGAGTGGCTTAAGGTTTCTAAACTAAGGGTCGGCAGGGGAAGGTGCTGGTGCAAGTGCTTTATAAACTTAGTCTCGGCCTTGAGCCAAGGACTTTGGACCAGAGTGTGGGATGGAACAGAACCTTGCACTGTGGTAAAAAGTACTGTGTGGCAAGTAACAGGTGCGTGTGGCTGTGGGTTCTTCAGGCTGTGTGTAGCTTTCCCAGAGAAGTGGTTTTGATGTGTGATGCTCTGGCTCCTCCTGCCCATCCCTTCCTGTCTTTTGTGAAGATGTTACATCATGTTACATTGTTTTCAGCAAAACTAGATGAAATGGGCCCCTAGGTGGTGGCTCTCAACTTTGTCTCCCTGTAAGTTCAAACCCTTGAATCCTAGCCCCTGCAAATCTCCCTGGTGGAGAACTGGCCCTGGCCGGCGCGTGACAGGAAACCACAGAAGAACTGGGCTGCAGAACCCTGAGCCACCCCTGGTTCTGCTCCCTCTCACTGTGGGCCTGCCATGGAATGCCCATGGGTCTGCCATTGGATTGGTATTTTTAATTTTCACTGGGATGAAATTTGTTCATCATTTTAAATAAAGCAACTGGATTTGGATTTGTGTGTTTTGCGTTGTTTTATCTTTGTTTTCTTTCATTCTTATTCCTTTGAAAGTCAGTAGAATGTAGTTTGTCAGATCTCTTAAAAATACACTTTAAAGGGCTGGAGATGTGGCTCAGCGGTAGCGCACTCGTCTGGCATGCGTGCGGCCCGGGTTCGATCCTCAGCACCACATACCAACAAAGATGTTGTGTCTGCCGAGAACTGAAAAATAAATATTAAAAATTCTCTCTCTCTCTCTCTCTCTCTCTCTCCTGTCTCACTCTCTTAAAAAAAAAAAAAATACACTTTAAAAACAATGGGAAAATGGGCTGGGGATGTGGCTCAAGCAGTAGCGCGCTCGCCTGGCATGCGTGCGGCCCGGGGTTCGATCCTCAGCACCACATACCAACAAAGATGTTGTGTCTGCCGAGAACTAAAAAAATAAATAAATATTTAAAAAAATAAATAAAAAGCATTCTATCTAAAAAAAAAAAAAAAAAAAAACAATGGGAAAGGGTGACTAAAATAAGGCCCAGACACTCAGGCTACAAGGCCCACGGTGTTCAAAAGCCAGCACCCTACCCCAAATCCATTCTTCACTACAGTGTCGGGCTGTCCATTAACCAGCACAAACAGGACATGCATGTCCTCCAAAACTGTGTGCCTGAGCCTGGCATAGGGGCTAATGCCCTCCAGCAACTTGGAAGGCTAAAGCGGGACTGCAGTCTAGGCCAGCCTGGGCAAAAAGGAAAAAGGGTTGGGGTGTACCTCAGTAGTAGAGTGCCCCTGGGTTCAATGTCCTGGTACTGAACAACAAAAGAATTTTGGAGCTGGGTGTGTACACTGACAGAGCGCTTGCCTGGCATGTGTGAGGCACTGGGTTTGATCACCACAAAAAAAGTTAAAAAAAGAAGCACTTGGGGCTGGGGATGTGGCTCAAGCGGTAGGTAGCACACCTGCCTGGCATGCGTGCAGCCCGGGTTCGATCCTCAGCACCACATACAAAGATGTTGTGTCCGCCGAGAACTAAAAAATAGATTTTTGTTTTTGTTTGTTTTGCTGTATTGAACCCAGAGACTCGCCAGAGAACTAAAAAATAAATATTAAAATTCTCTTTTTTTTTTTTTTTAAAAAGCAGCACTCTAGCATATTGGTTTATATCCAAGTATTAAATAATGAATCCTAAGCTTTTTTTTTTTTTTTTTAAAATAGGCTCTCACTATGTTTCCTAGATTGGTCTCGAACTCCTGACTCAGGTGCTGGAACTGCAGGCATGTGCCCTGGTGCCTAATTGGAACCCTGCTTTTTGACCCGAGGGCATTTTTGGCCTGGTGCCAGACAAACTGCCTGGCCTGTGTTTATTTGAAATAACTAAAGGGGTGGGGAGTGGGAGGGAAATGTTTTTGGTCACTATTTCTAACCTATCCTGAAAGGTTTTGGAGGAGAAATAAAAAAAAAAAAATCATCCTTCCTTTCCCTCATTCCATCCACCCCTCTCCACCCATAACATCAGGAAATACACCAAGAGGAAGCCAGTTGGGGAATGGTGTTGACCCAGGAGCTGAATTCCAGAGTCTGGGGGGCAGCCACCGCACTGGGAGGCTGTGGAGGCTGCTGGCTTCCGCCTGGAAGGGAGCATTCTCTGGCCTAGATCTGAGATGTCCTCTGTGGAAACACTAAGTCAATGCCCAGGAGTAAAAGCCGCCGTGGACGCGCCTGTAAACGTGGCCAGCGCCAGGAGCCCGGCGCCCGCTGGCTGGCTTGTCTCAGGAGGCAGTCGGTGATTTCCGTGAGCCTCACTTGCCTCCCAGCTTTACCCCCCTCCCGCAGGGTGCTCTCCGGTGAACTTCCGCACAGGGCTGAAATGATGCTGTGATGCAGGAGGGTGACATTCAAAGGGACCTGAGCAGGGAGCGGTTCACACCGGTTTGCCAACTGCAGAGCCGGGACAGTTAGATCGTGCTCCTAGGCGTCGGGCCTGCCCAGGCTGGGGGTGGCAGAGAGTGTGCCCTCCTGCGCCTCCCAAGGGTGCGGGCTCCAGTCCCCCAGAGTCGCCCCCTAGGGGCCCAGCTCCGGGGGCGGGGCGTGGGTGACGGCTCCGCCCTGGGGCGGGGCGCGGCGGCGGGGCGCGGCGGGCTCCCTCGGGGTCTCTGCGGGCGGGCKGGCACTCCGCGGCGGGGGCGCGATGGAGGCGCCGGCCGAGCTGCTGGCCGCGCTGCCCGCGCTGGCCACTGCGCTGGCGCTGCTGCTCGCCTGGCTGCTGGTGCGGCGCGGGGCGGCTGCGAGCCCGGGTCCCGCCGGCGCGCCCCCGGAGCCCGCGACCCCGGTGCCGGCAAGTCCCCGCGTCCCCGAACCGGCGGCYGCTCCCGGGGGGCCGGGACTGCCCGAGGGCCCGGAGGAGCCCACGGAGCCCGGGGAGCCCGTATCAGCGCCGGCCGAGGCCGAGGAGCAGGCGGCGGAGGCGAGGCAGGTACGCACCGGGCGCGCCCGCGGCGCCCTCCCACCCAGGCACCCGGGACCCTCGGCCTCGGCCGGCCCTGTCGACCCGCAGCGCCGGGGAAGCGGGGCCGCGAGGCCCCAGGCGAGTCACCCGCCCCGGGAGGGGCAGAGCCGGCGGCCGGCAGGAAACGCGGGTCCCGGCGTGCCAAGTCCGCGGCTCGCCATCCTCCCCTGGAAGTGCCGCCAGTGGCCGGCCGGCGGAGTTTGTGTGCCCCTTCTCTTCCCGACCTCCGCCCCTGCGAGCCGGGAGCCGCCCCGGCACCAGCCCAGGCTCCGCGCGGCGCTCCCAGGCCTCCCACGGCGCCTGGAATTTCGCTGCCCGCCGTCCTCCCGCCCCCGCGCCCCCTGTTCCCGCATCCACGTGCACGCGGCTTATTTCAAGGCGGGCAGTAGAAGTTGGGATGTTGACAATTTAGTACTTTTGGAGGGTGAAGAGAAAAGCTGCCTCTTTTTTAGGCCCACTTGAAATCCAGATTCCAGAATCGCTGTGGCGTTTTGTGAGGCCCATGGAGGGGACGGAAAGGAAGACACTGATGGCTGGTTTTATTGTCATTTTCAAACTGCTTGTGGGCTTTGGCACATCCCCGACCCCACTTCCCAGGGCGCAGACGAGTCTGGCTTGTGTGGTGTGAACGCTGCCTCCTGGGGGGTCCCCAAATATGCTTCAGCGTCCCTGCCACAGGCCCTGGCTCTTGTTGGCCACCAGCTCTGCCTGACCACACTGTCTTACCCCAGGCTAACTTCAGCCCCGTTCTCTCTCAGATGCACCTCTTCAGGCTGGAAACCTACTTGCCCTTGTTATCAGGATTTCACTGTCCTGGGCTGGCCTGGGCCTCCACCGCTGGCCCACCACTGGGTTTTGTTGTTTCCCAGTACTGGGGAGAGAACCCAGAGGTGCTCTGTCTGAGCTGTAGCCCCGGCCTTTTTACTTTTTATTTTGAGATGATAGGGTCTCGCCTTATCCTCGTGGTTGCTCAACCTTGGAATTCTCAGCCTCAGGTGGGCTTGGGCCACCAGGCCAGTCCCCCACCCCCAAGTCTAACTGTAACATTTTCTTCTTATTCCTGAGCTCCTTGCTTTGGAGGAGAGGACACAGCCCCGCAGTGGAAACCATCAGCAGGCTGTTCTAGTGTTGTCAGCAGATCTGCGATGCCCACTCTGTCCTTTGCTGGACACAGTGGTTTACACTGGACAGAAGCAGAGGGGAGAGGAGGAAGCAGAGACTGCCCTCAGGCATTTCTCTCTAGCTCTCCAGACCCCCTCTGAGCAGGCGCTTTGCTTGACAAGTGGGTGACTAATTGTGTCATTGGAGTGGCTTCTAACCAGCCCTGGGGAAGGTGGAGTATGTCTGAGCTAATCGGAGGCCATGATGCTCTTGCAGGGGGAGGCGCGATAGCTTACCCAGTTAATGGCAGGTGGGGCTTAGACATGCCGCGGTTTGTGTTATATTTGTTCCCATGTTTGGGACTCCTGCCTCACTCGTGGTCTCATGGGACTATTCTCAGGACATCACTGGCTCTCTATCAGCCCTACTTATGAATTGATCCTTTATCACCCAGCAGTAGGTTCTAGACTGAAGGCCAATGTCCTTTGATGGCACACAGTCATTTCCTGTCCTCTGGGATAYAGCTCTTCTTTAACTTTCCACAGGGCTTTTGGGCTGTCAGCACATATGATATGTAACGTGGTGGATTCAATAGTGTTGTGGAAATAGAGGCCCTCAGCTGGATGAGGTGGTGCCTGGTGCAGGCCTGTGATCCCAGGCTGAGGCAGGAGGATCACAAGTTCAAGGGAAGCCTCAACAACCTAGTGAGACCCTGTCTCAAAATAAATAAAAAGGGGATAGGTTGCAGCTCTGTGGTAGGATGCCCTTGGGTTTAGGCTCCAGTGCCATTAAAAAAAAACAAAAAGGAAATAAAAATAGGSGTCCTCATATAATCTGCCCCTACCTGGGTGGATGCATATCTCTGAGGTCCACTGTGTGTCTTGAAGGACAGTATACAGTGTGAGCGGACCTGATGCCGGCTGCCCTGAGGAAATCCACCTTGTGGAGAGTTCCCTAAGTCGTCTTCCTTATTGAGAGGTCTGGTCCCCTTTGGATTCAGGGCCCCAGCCCTTTCTGAGCTGACCAGCTCCCCTCCTGCACGAGGTCCTGGATCAGGACTGGCCCACACCTGTGTGTCCTCCCCACCCATCCCAGGAGTGGAATGAACTGAAGCAGCTGCTTAGAAATTGTCTCGACATTGACTTGGACATTTCCAAAGGTTTTCTGTTCTGCTGAGGAGGAGCTTAGGGGACAGTTGGGAAGAAGGCCCCTTGGGAAAATAACACAAGGGGCAGGAGACAGGGGCAGCCTCCTTTGGGCTCCCTAAGTGAACCCAGAGAGAAGGGCTGGAGGGGCAAGGACACCCCACCTGCTGTTAGCCCAGAAGTCACTGCCCAGGAAGGGAGGGAGAGGCACGCTCAGCCCTGCTCCTGGGCTCCCTCCCTCCCTCCCTCTTCATTTTCCATCAACTGCTTCCCTTCTAATCCAATCCTCTTCTTTCCCAGCAAGGCCTGGGCAGTCTGGGGCAGCTGCTGCCTCTGACTCACAAAGCTGATTACTGAGAAGGCTCTGGAGCCCAGGGTAGCAGCCAGCCTTCAGCTGCTGCTGCAGATCACTCCCGACAGCACCCCCCGGTGCTGGGCACCCTCCACAGGACCAAGTGGCAGGAAGGGACCATTTATGGGCTGAGGCCCTGAGCGTGAACTGAAGAACTGGAGATGGGATCAGTGCAGCCCAGACCAGCAGCAGGGAGGGCCTCTCCCTTCCCCTCCCTTCCCTTCCCCTCTACAGAGCAGCCAGGGCAGGGAGTCCYAGGAGAGGGTGGAATCACATTATTGGAGCCATGGCATTTCTCTTATAGAGATTAGTGTGGAGTAGGGAGTGTAGGACAGATGACAGGAGCACCGCTTTCACAAAGGACTGGGAACCAACCACATCAAGGGCAAGAGCTGGTGCCTCCTCAGGCCCGAGAGTAGCAGGGTTTTGGTGCTTCCACGTAGGTTGGGCTTTTAGAATTACGGGGCGGGGGGGGGGGGGCTGGGATTGTGGCTCAGCGGTAGAGCATTCCCCTAGCACCCGCCTAGCACGGGAGAGACCTGGGTTCCATCCTCAGCACCACATAAGAAAATCAAGGCATTGTGTAGTGTCCATCTGCACCTAAAAAATAAATGTTAAAAAAGAATTACCGGGAGGGCCTCTTACTTAATGGAAGTAGGGCTTCCAGCAGGGCTCTCTCTGTGTCCTAGGGTTCCCCGTCAGCATCATGCGCCAGGGGTCAAGGGCCATTCCTGGCAAGAGCAACAAATGCTTTGTCTGTGCCAGAGCTCAGACATCTTGGCCCTTAGGTTCCAGCTCTGCTCAAACACATAGTAGAAGCCGGGTACCGTGGCTTATGTCTCCAATCCTGACTGTCATGATTCAAATAGTTACATAAAACGTGGGTGTGTATGGAGAAAGAGAGCAAAGATGGCAGCATTGGTGTATCCGGGTGGAGGGTGTATGGTGTTCGTTACTGTATTGTTCTTTCAACTTTTCTGAAGGCTTGGAATTTTTCAAAATATAAATATGATATTGGAAAAACAGCCCGGTAGGCGTTCCCCAGGAGGGCTCTGCTGTTTGGACACTGCAGCCGTGGTGGCCTGGTAGCTGCACGGCCTCCCTCTGTCTGTCCTGGTCCTCTGGCTCTGCCTGGTTTGCTCCTCTGAAGTTAGGTCCAGTGTCTCCTTTCCTAGCTGAGCTTTGGCCACTTTGCTCTCTGTCCCTCCCAGAGTGGGCAGGGCAGGCAGGCCCTTCTCCACAGTCCCTCCTGGCCTCCGTGATACTAGTGCGGTCTCACCTTGCTCTCACCAACCCAGGTGGTAGGGCCAAGTAGGTATCTGGCAGTTTGTTCCTATCACTTTGGGTTCTTTCCTTGGTCAACCTGGGCTGATATATCACAGTACCTTAGTCTGGTGGCTTACACGACAGACGCCTCTTTCTCACATCTGTGAAGGCTGGAAAATCCACGATCAAGGCGTCAGCAGATGGGGTCTTTAGCGAGGACTCTCATGGTGCAGACGCCACCCTCTTACTGTATCGTCACGTGCCAGAGAAGGGGGAGAGGCTCTGGTGTCTCTTCATGTTCTGATGGGGTCCCCCACCCCACCCCAGGGGCTCCAGCCTCATGATCTAATCAGCTCCCAAAGCCCCCCCCCCAACACACACACTGGGAGTTATGGCTTCAATGTACACATTGGGAAGGGAGCAGGGTGCACAAACGTTGAGTCCGTAATAGGCCTAGTGATTGGCCGAGGTAGCAGAACTGGAAATAATCCAACCTTCATTAATTAAGACATTCGATTAATTAGAAAATAATGTTAGATAAGTAAAGAAAAGAAAATAGTAACTGTCCCTGTGTCCCTCCACTGAACGGGCTGACTCCAGGGGCTGGAAACACGGGGTGTTTTTTGTAAAGTTGTTTAAACTCATTTAATTTTTTTTCCATATAAGAAAGAAGTCTGGGGGCTTTTCTGATAGCTCAACTCTGTTCTTTCGGAGGGAAAAAAGTCTTGATGGCACACAGAAAATTCAGCTGTCAGAATTTCTACCTAGTGAAAACGAGTTAAGTTGTAAAGACTGTGTCTCGGGAAGAAAGGTGCCTGGCCTTGGAGGGTTAGAAGTCAAGCACTGCTCAGGCCACCCTGAGACACTGCTCAGGCCACAGCCGGGGCAGGGGGTGGGGGGGTGAGAACCCTGGGTCCTTGATGGGGGTGCTCTTGGGAACCTCCAGATTCTAGTGGTCAGAGCTTTACGAACCACCTGAGCCTGGGCACACTGGACTTGCCACTGTCAAGGTCACATAGTGGACCAGGAGATATAGTCAGGCTCGGAGCCTCCTGGTGTAGGGTCCTGGCTCTGAGCTGTTTGCCAGCCTCGTGTGTGTGTGT